ACGAAACAAAAGAAAAGAATCTATTCCAGAAAAAACAATTTTCCCAAAACCTGGCCCATCTGAACCTGTCAGACCTGTTCCAGCTTCATCTCAGCCTGTTCGTGAAGTCTACAGAACATATGTTGCACCTGCCAAAAGTCCTGCTGTACCTAGACCTGTTCCAGCTGCATGTCGACCTAATCCACTAAATAATCCACTGATTAGTCGGATACTCCGGTACGGGCGGTATCCGACTAATCAGAGTAATATTGGGGTCAAGCAGCCGGGTAGACCTTTCAGTGCTTTCCCATCAAGTAGCTTGAGTCTTGGACCCAACATGAACTGCTGTGATGATACTTCTGAAAATGATTCTCTCCGAATCCTTATATCAAACATACCTAACATACCTAAGTTAATGAGAAAACAAGATTTAATGTGGCATTTCAAAGATTTTGGTAAAATTGACAATCTTGATTGGAATGTTGAGGAAGGGACTGCTGTATTAACATACCAAGATTCAAACTCTGTGTCCAATTTGATTGCCGCATCCCCAGGAATTTCTCTGTATGGTCATGGTATACAATATGAAGTTTATTCAGATAGTGAATCTGAATATGATTCAACTGAAGTTTATGTTGGGAATCTGCCTGCCTCAGTATCAAAGAGAAAACTACTTCAGCTGTTCAAATTTGCTGGTAGGATATCGAATGTAAACATTGACAAAGAGAATTCAACAGCAATTCTAAGCTTTGAAGATGTAGAATCTTCCATCAGATTGCTTGAATGTGGAAGAAGATTTATGTTAGATGGTAATGAATTGGAAGTTGAGGAATGCGCTAGTAGTAGCAGTGAGGATGAAGAGGAAACTTCCACTCTTTTTGTTGGGAATGTTCCAAAAGAAACCACCAACGATGAACTAAAACGCTTATTTGCTGGCTTCGGGAAGATTAATGAATTTACTATCAAAAACGGTAGAAACAAACGGAAGACCTACAATTATGCATTGGTTGAATATGAAACTGTTGGCTCAGCTCTTGCCGTTATTAAGGCCAGTCAAGTCAAAAATTTCGAAATCAGAGGAACTGCCTTGAAAATAGAATTGAAAAAGAACAACTAGACCTCCCACTTTTCTCTGAAACCTGTCAGAGTTCGATCTTTATACCGTTTCGGGATTCAGTAATTTTCACTGCTTGTACCTCTACATAATTTGAATGTGTTAAATGTATCCTTTGTTAATTTATCGAATAAAAGTACTCTGCATCAAAATTTTTCTTCGGGGGTTAAATTTCTACATTCAAATTTATATCTTTACAATTTATATCTTAGTGCACGGAAGCCTTGACTACAACAACTTACTCATGATGATACCAAGTACCAACCCTTAAACGCTATACAAAATATAACAGAATGTCAAATAATGCGAGGTATTTTTACATCCTCCAGCTCCTTGAAAGTTAGATTTTTTATATAATATGCCAAAAGTAGTTCAAGTAAATCAACTGGTAAAATCTTTTTAATTCGGTAATTATATAATTATGTAATTATGGCCAAATTGCTGGTTATTTTATTAATTCTAGCAATTTAATTTATAAATGAATTGCATTTAATAATATTTAAATATTTGTTGATTAATCAAGGTTCGAAGACCTTAGATTTTTAGCTTTAGATAGGGAGGAGTGGAAGAAGTTAGAACATGGTTGATGTTTTTGTTTTCTTTTTTATGCGTTTTGATATCTATAAGGTGCCTAGGATGCTCTTTTAAAGAGATATTTCGTACTTTGAAAGATTTACTACTACTAATCAAATAAATCTGCTGAGCCTCTTTCTATTTTGTACTCATTTATTATAATGGGTACAATTAGGTAAAAATGAATGTGACTCAATTCGTTATGATGCAATGCTAAATTTTGTTTCAAGATTTTTTATAGCCAGTTCACAAAATATGCCAAGTTATTTAGTATACTTGTGCTATCATGATAATTAATAATTTCACTCTTCTAAAGTCACAGCATGTTAGAGAAATTAACCCTGGACAGGGATTTCACTAGATTCATCAACGACCCCACATTTCCCTACAAAGTAACAGTATGTATTGGAGAAGAACGTGTATTGTGCTCAGGAGCATTGCTTGCTCAACAGAGTTCTGTTCTTGAAAAGAAGTTTAGAGAAGATGATGGTGTGCTGATGTTTGAAGAACTGTTGGATGTGGAAAATAGGAACAGAGCTTTACATGATTGTATTAACTTTCTACATGGAGCAGAGCTTACTTTCACTCGTGAAAACATTGAAGTAATTTTGAAGTTTGCTAGTTGGTACAAAGTTGGATGTTTGTTTGACAAAGCTTTGCACTGGTTATTATATGATCACTTTTCTGAAGACAATCTATCTTTTGGTCTTGTAAATTCGGATGATGCACTTAATTTAATCGTGATTTCAAATCATCTGCAAGAGGAGGAGTCCATTAAATTGAAAGAGATTATTTTTTCAATCATTGACACCTATGACGGCCGCGGATATTTCTATTACGACAATACGAGAACAACGTTTAATCTCTTCTTGGGTTTGAGTGGGTATGATGTTGCTGCAATTACTTTAAAGGAACCATTTAATTCATCATCTTTCTTAGAAGGCTGGCTCTCTTTCTCTCGTGAAAATAGAAAGTTTGTAATCGAAAATGCAGCTTTATTTGACTTTGAAGAGATTTATCAAACTGAGCACGACTTTTCTAAGTTTGTGGCTGTCCTTTCTGAGGACAAGGAATTGATGTGTACTGATTCTATTAAGTTGCTGCTAGAAATACAAAAAGACTTTCTCTTGAAAAAAGCTCATGACAAATGGTTTGTTACATCATCTACTGATAATAATAAACCAGCAGCTAGCAGTGATTCAGGTCCAATTTTACCTTCAAGACTGAACCCCAACCAAAGCTCAAGGGAACAATACAGCATTGGTAATATTGCTTTCGCTGGTTCCCACTCTCAAGTAGTTGTTCCTCAACATGAGTCCAAATATAGTACCACTATAAATGACTTTTTGTGGGAATCTAGCTCTTCTCAAGATTCTGAATCTAGCAGTGATGAGTATCAGTATTCTTCTGTATGGGTTGGTAATGTTCCAAAATCTGCCGATGAGGTTGATCTAAAGAGACGTTTTGGAAGATTCGGAAAGATAAATGAGATAACTATAAGAGCCACACGGCATCCATTCGACCATGCTTTTGTTTGTTTTGACTCTGTTGGATCAGCCCGAGCATTATTAAGACGAAAATATCAAGAAGGTTTTGAAATTAGTGGTGTTCAATTAAAAATAGCTGAGAGAAGGCTACAATAACATTTTTGCAGCTTGTTTGTTACCTACTTTGCGTTGGTTTGTGAAATTGTTCAATTTTTTAACAATGTTTTTAATTACATAAGGGTTTATAATTTGATATAATAATATTTAAAACTATACTAGATAAGGAATTTTGATTTTTTTTTAATGAATTGGAGATTGATCAATATACAATGACTGTGCTTTGCGAATTTTCCACACTAGGTTGATTTATAACTCGATTAGAGAATCATTTTGAAAAATACTTGTATGAGATAATCGTAAATGATAAATGCATGTATAAGATTTTATTAACATAAACTTAGTGGTACATTTAAAAAATTTTTATAAATTGTGTTACAAATTACAATACATTTCTATTTAACTTACTATTTGTGGTCATTGCTTTTCGTTTTGGAATGAATCAACATATTGTTATCTGGTGTTCTTTAACTTCGAGTTCAGTTAATTCATTTTTCAACTCTACATTTAAGAGTTACACCCTAAAATCTAACCTAACTTCCCCAGATAGCATTTTAGATGGGCTCATGACACAAACATTACAACTTGACAGAAATATAACAAGATTCCTCGGGGACGAAACTTTTCCTTTCAAAGTCACCGTTTGTATTGGTGAAAAGCGAATCGTATGTTCAGGAATAGCCCTCGCGGAGCAGAGCCATGTTCTGGAATCAAAAATACGAGAAGACAAAGGAACATTGATGTTTGAAGAAATGATACCAATGATGGAAGAACCAGATAATGCTGAGATTCTGCTCCAATGTATACGGTACCTGCACGGTGCTCCATTGAACTTGAGTTACGAGAATTTGGAGGTTATCTTGAAATTTGCTAGTTGGTACCAGGTGACTGACTTGGTCTCCTTGATTATGAAATGGTTGAGAAATGCAGATGTGCTCTTTTTACTAGACACTCCAGGTGCTATTCTTAAACACATCATACAGTTATTTAAACTCTCAAACTGTTTGTCTCCAGAAGAAAATGCTGCTCTGAAAGATCTCGCTTATAAACTTGTCTTGGCTCATAGTTCAGAATTGTTCTGGATTAAGATGATAGATTTTATAGATGCTGAGATTTACGGATTTGATATTGTTAAGATGATAGAGAATTGTACTGGAAATTGTGGCGGGAATATCATGAAGAAATGGGTAGCTCTTTCTGTCGATAACAGAAACTTTGTTTACAATAACCCCTCATTGTTTGACTTTCGAGCACTTTTCCCAGATGAAGATGATTTTTCGAATTTCATTTTTATGATATCAGATGACACGTCATTACCGCGTCACTATTTTAGAATCCTGCTGGAAATACAAAAAGGTTACTTTAAAAAAGAAGTATGCACTAGTTCGACTAGATCGTCTCTGTTACCGAAAGGGGAAATATCCAGAAGTGACTGTATTGAAAACAAACGTCATGTTCTGTATAACAAACACGACCCAGACATTGCACATAACTTACCTACACCTATTCCTTCATTATCAGTGACCGTTCCAAACAGTGACGATTTCCCTAATTCTACGCAGGAACTACCTCATGCAGATACCTTCGTGGAAGAAATAGTGGACCTTGATTTGATTCATTTACAACCGTCCCCCAGCAGCGAGGAAGCAGTATGGTGGTCCGACCAAGACAGTTCAGCCTCTTGTAATGAGGTTGTTCCAGTGAACGTCTCACATCGTCGTCCACGTCGGAGACGAAAATTATCAGGTCATGCATCTCATAATCAAGTAAAGATTTTGAACCTCCCTCCGAAAGTCTCAAAACGAGGGCTTAGAAGAACATTTGGCACTTTTGGTAAAATATCAAATGTTGAAATTAATCCTGTACAAAATTATGCGGTTCTAACTTTTGAAAGTGCTGCCCATGCGAAAAGACTTCTAAATTCAGATAGTGTCTTACCTTTAGATGGATTTGAATTAGAAACTATACAGTACATGTCGAAACAAGTGATAGAGGTAGTCGCTGATGATAGACGTGATCCCCATGATGCCAAGAATGAATCAACGCCTGAATGTTACACTAGAAATGATAATTCGGATCGAAATCTTTTCATTGGAAATATTCCATCGGCCGGTCGACAGTCCGAATTAAGACAACTCTTTAGTGGTTTTGGAAGATTGGAGAGTTTTCAAATTCCCAGTGGTAAGTCTTACGGTTTTCTAATTTACGAAAATGCTAGATCCGCATCTGCTCTTCTTAAAGCAAGACACAGTAGGAAATATCTTGGGCATGAACTAGTAATTGAGAGACGAGATAGAAAATAGCAATTTTTCACTTTTTTTAAGATTCACATTGTTTATCCCTTTAACAGAATATTATATAGTATAGATTATAATAGAACGTGTACAATATTAAGTTATTGGAAAAAATAATTTTTTCGCGATGTTAATACTTTACTTTTTTAATAAAAGAGAATACTGTTTTTTTGATGTTTTTTTATCAATGAAGATTACTCTACGATACTATTTGAGATTTTTAAAGAATCATATATTTTCGTTTTTAATTGCATTAGGTTGAAACTTTGTAGTAAGAAAGTTAGATTCCCGTATTGAACTATGCTTGTATCAGATAGACGGTCATTCAAATCATTAATGCATGTGTGTTATTATTAAGGTTATAACTTTCATGATTACTATTTTGATTTGCTTATGATTCTTATTTCTTGGTTAAATTTTCTGTCTTTCAATTAGTAATGGCCTAACACGATACTGATGATCTTGTCGTTTTTCGTTCTGGAACAAATTAAAATATCTGGTGTCTTTTTACTTTAACTTCGTACAATTAAAGGTATTTCAAAATTACTAACCCATTTTTTCTAGCTAGCATTTTAGATGGGCTCATGACACAAACATTACAACTTGACAGAAATATAACAAGATTCCTCGGGGACGAAACTTTTCCTTTCAAAGTCACCATTTTTATTGGTGAAAAGCAAATAGTATGTTCAGGAATAGCCCTCGCGGAGCAGAGCCATGTTCTGGAATCAAAAATACGAGAAGACAATGGAACATTGATGTTTGAAGAAATGATCCAATGATGGAAGAACAGAATTAAGGAGAATTCTGCCCCAAATGTATAACGGTAAACCTTTGCAACGGTGCCTCTTTGAACTTGAGTTTTCGAGGGAATTTGGGGGTTATCCCGAAATTTGCAAATGGTACCAGTATTGGGAAAATTGGTTTCTTGATATATAAAGGTTGGGGAAATGCAGATGTACCCCTTTTTATAACCCCCCCAGGTGCTATTCAAAAAAATAAAACATATACAGATATTTAAAAACTCTCAAAAAAAAAAGGTTGGTCTCCAGAAAAAAAAAAAGGTGCCTTGAAAGGATCCCCCGCTTTATAAATTTGTCTTGGCTCTAGTTCAAAAAAAAAATGTTCGGATAAAGAATAAATTTTAAAAGATGCCTGACATTTGGATTTGAATATTGTTAAGATAAAAGAAATTGTAGGAAAAAAGGTGGGGGGGGGGAAACCCTGAAAAAAAATGGGGTTAAAGCTCTTTCTGCGAAAAAAGGGAAAAATTTGTTTAAAAAAACCCTACTGTTTGATTTTTTAGCACTTTTCCCCCGATGGGGGGACGTTTTTTTTGAATTTCATTTCCCTTATTTCAGAGACACGCCATTACCAGTCATATTTTGAGGATTTCTGTGGGAAAAATACAAAAAGA